ATGGGTCGCCCGCCCCCGGGCGGGCTTTTCCCCCCAGCATTTTTTTTTTTTTTTTTTTTTTTTGCCCTGGCTGCCAAGCGGACCTCGCTGCGAGCCGGCATCTTCGCAGGCACCACAACAAACCCGGCTGCCGGCAGAGCCCGGGCGCCATCTCACGTCATTGCCACGGGGACGGCAGGCCTTGGCACATGCTCTTGCCCTCCCAAAAGTGCACCGGGATGGCCTCGCCACCCCAAAACCCTGTCCTGGGTGCAAGGAAGTCTGGCAGCTCTGTAGTATCCCTGCTCATTGGGGCCGGGGATGCTGGAGCGCACCGGGGATGGCAGGTCACCTGTGCATGGAGACACAGGGGCTGCTGCGCAAACAGCCCTATGTGGCCTCATGCTGGAGCCCAGCACCCAACTGGGAAAGGGTTTGAACCCCCAAACTTTGCTCCTGGCTCTGGAAAGGGCTACAGCGGGGCTTTTCCCTCTCCTCCCTGCAAGCCTGGGGGTCGTTCCCCGGGAGCAGTGGCTGCAGGAGAAGGGGCCGCTGTGCCGAAATGATGCTCGGTGCCTTGGAGCAGGGTGGTGCTCCAGCCAGCATCCCCCCCCTTGCCTGGCACTGCCAGCCTCCTCCCCTCCTCACCCGGAGAGCCGTGGGGCGAGCCTTCATGCACATACCTCCGATGCGAGGAGCTAGGTCCGCAGCTTGTCCTCTGCCGCTGCCGCCGTCGGCACCCCTGGGCGAGTACCTGCGCCTCCTCTTCCCCCTCTCCCAGCAAGGTCCCCGCGAGCGGCTTCATTTGCAAAGCGCGGAGGCTCCAGGACCAGCACACCTATCATGAGAGACACATATTAGCTGCGCGCAGATGGGAGAACGCCTCTAAATGTTATATTTTTAAAGCATTTTCTCACCCAGCAGTAGCTCCAAGCTCCTCTGCTTAGCGTGGAGGCATCTGTGGGAAAAGAGGTGGGGAGGCCCGCTACAATTCAGGAGGATGCTGCTGGGATTCGGGCGGGCACAGAGCGAGGCGAACGAAGAATTTATTACAAGCCCCATTTCTGTGCAGCGCTGAGGGTGGACTTTCCCGCTCGCCACCCCCGTTACCCTCCCACGGGGCAATCCTTGCTTGGGGCTCACGACATGGGTTCATCTCCATGGGGGAAGATAAGTTTGCACCCACCTACCGGTGCGAGCACCCGGTACGGAGCAGGAGCAACCCGCTGTACCCCAGACAGGGTACAGTCCGATTCCCGAGCATCCCCCCGACAGGCCGGCTCCCAGATAGACAAAGAGATTCCTGAGTCCAAGGGAGCTTGGACATCTCATTTAAGCTGTTTTGCAATGTTTAAAAATCAGAGAAAGCTGGCAGAAAATCCTCAGAGTCCCTCTCCCAGCCCAGGGTAAAGTCACTGTGCAGAAGGGGCTCTCCTGCAGGATGCCTCTCCTCGGGAGCTGTGCCCATGGACATGCAGACATGGGGCAAAAGGAGATTTTTTTTTTTTTTTTGGTCAGGACACAAAATGCAGCAGAGATTTAAGGGGATGGAGGGCCTGTGCAAAGCCTTGGCCAAGCTCAATTGCCCCAGCACCGAGCGGGGCCATCACCCATCTTGCCCCCCTGCCAAGTGGGGCCATCACCCGTCTCCCGGAGCCTGCTGAGCCCGGATGGAGGTGTAAAAGCAAGCAGCACTTGGCATCTGTCAAAACAAGCCCATTTCATGCCTGTACACTGGAAATTGTGCCCCGACACTTTTGCCAAAGGGCCCGGGAGCCCCCGGCCACCAGGGATCAGCCAAACTCATCACATCAGCGAGCACCAGAGTTTTCCCAAGGGCTGGTCCCTGCTGCAAAGCACTCGCTCTAACAGCCATGGCAGACCCTGCAGCCTGCTGATTTACTACAGCTCAGACAGCCTTACAGACACTCGCTCCTTATCTTTGTTTTACGGATGGAAATACGGAGGCATGCAGCTTGTTTGCCCAGCGTGGCATAAATAACCCCCCGGGAAGCCAGACCGAGCGCTTTCCCTCGGCTCGGCAACTTTACCAAACGCTCCCCGGGTCGTTACCTGCCTGAACTTGTCTCAAGCAGTCGAAGGCAGATGCTGGGGCCACCCAACTCGGACCCGGCACTCAGCGCTGTCGGGTCCCCAGCAGACCCGGGAGGGGGGTCAGGGGAGACGGCGCGGCCGGCAGACGGTGGGTCGGGGGGTGCCGGGGCCCCACGCGGTGCAAGCTGCCGGCGGCAGAGTCTCCCCGGAGGGGAGAGCGACTGCATCTGCGGCAGAAGGAGCTGCCAGGGAAGAGCTCGATGCGAGAAGGCCTTTAAAGGACATGCACGAGAGCGGCTGGGAGCTCCCTGCGCAGGGCTGGGGCGGGCTGAGCCGTTTGCAGGTGGCCAGGCGACCTCTGCTTTCGGTGTGGGGCCAGATCCTGCACCCGCTCTTTGGAGGTAACAGCTGTAACCCAGAGCTGGAAGAGACCGCGGCTGCTCTCTCCATGCCCGGCATCTGCAGAGTGGAGCAGACCTGAGTCTCAGCATCATCCTGGCAGGAGGCTCAGGACAGGGTGGTGGCACTCAGGACCTCCATGGAGATGGGGGATCCCCCCATGCCTTCATGGGGGGCACAGCACGAGGCTAAACCAGGATGGCTGACGAGGACCCCCTGCAGCATCGTATTTGATGATGCAGGGAAGCCGCTCTGCTCAGGACCCCCATCCCTCCTGCCCCTCTTAGCAGCCCCACTTTCCCCTCAGCCATCACCCCCACTGCACCTTCCCCTGCCCGACTCCTTTCCTCAAATCCATCACATCCTCTAAAGCCGCTTTCTTCCCCTAATGAGCTTACATGGAGTCAGACTCAATGCTCAGCACTACCGAGAACCAGGCTGCAGGCAGGCAGCCACTCTTAGCTGCCCCCCCCATGCCTGGGGACCCTGATGTACCACGAGGAACAAGGCAGGTCCTTGGGGTCCGCAAATCTCATAAGCCCTCAGAGGTCAGCCAACAAATGGCATCTCCCAGCCCTGGGGCAGGGCTGGCCCAGCCTCATGCCCATCTGCTGAGAGCACAGGATGCGGCCCCAGGTCCAGGGAGCAGCCAGGGAGGGCTGAGAGAGCCCGTTTGCAGCTTTGAAGCAGAAGCTGTGCTGTGCCACAGTGGGATGAAGCTTTCGAAATGGCCATCAACAGTGGTTCCCCACCAGGTCAGGATTTCAAACATCCTTGAAACTTCAGGGATGGATTTTCACCTCTTGGGGCAAACACCTCCTGCTCGGACCTGACCCAAAAGCAGAGCTGCTGAGAAATCATGAGTCATCTTAGGGGAACAGCCTCAAATTCCCGTGCTGTCTTCCCTGTAACACAGCTAGCAATGCAAGCTGTGGTATGCATGATTAGCACCAATTAATGACAATTAACTCATCCTAAGTTCACACCACCAGCACCAGGAAGACACCGGACATGCTGAAAGGCAGACTGGCACTGTCACCCTCTGCCTTATATTTTTATATATCCTCTGCCTTTGCTTAAAATATCTTCCCTGGGATTTCCTCTCTTCCCCATCTCTCTGCTGTCCATCTCCAAGAGTTTCCAGGCGCAAGGGCTGACCACTTGTCCTTCTTTTCAGAGGAGGATTTGCTGAGACACGCCGCCCGAGTGAGCAGGTCGCCCGGCCCAAACTGCAAGAGGATGCTCAGGGCTTGCGATGGCAGGGCTGGATCCATCCTGCAGGTGGGTACGTCCATGCATGTCTGCCTGGAGGCAGCTGAGCCCTGGGTGCTGTGCAGCAGTGATAATCCTGAGCAGCAGAGCTTCCCCCCTGCCCCTTACCCCCAGTGCTTTCCCAGTCGCTCAGCGAGTTTGCTGCCTGGCTGGTATCTCGAAACACAGCTGAATTCTCCAGGCATGAAGTCAGGTTTGCATTAGCACCGCCAGTCCCGTCACTGGGCTAATTCGCGTCCGGGCACCCCTTTGTTTCAGAAAGGGGAGACTCGAGCAGAGGGGAAGACCCTTCCTTTAGGCTGAGACTCAGCGGATGGAGCCCAGCACCCGATCGCTGCGATGCCATTCCCCTCCTCGAGGACCTCCCCCTGCCCACGTTACATGAGGGTCTGCTTGGGCACAGCGGTCTAAACTATATGTTTTATTGTTGAGTGCTCTTTCTAGCCAAGCACAAGGTCTCTCCTTGACAGAGCCTGCTCCCGTAGCAGGGCATGGAAGTAAAAGCACCTTCACAGCATGCTGCTGAGCAGACAGAAGGTACAAAACCAGCTGCCCCCGAGAATGGGCAGTGCACTGGCAGAGGCTGGCAAGCTCAGGGGACGGAGGACGGACACCTTTGCATTCACCAGTGCTTTGCCAATCAACACAGCCTGGTCCTGCTGGCCCCGTCCCCACAGAGACCCTGCTTCCTCCCCGAGAGCAGCAGCCTGGCACCAGGCAGGCAGCAGATCAGGCTCCGTAGCCTCTGCTCCAGCGTCCTGGCAGGTCCACGGCTGCAGCAAGTTCCTCCATGGAGGACACAGACCTAAGGACACCATCACGTTGGTTCCCCACACCAGAATAGAGCTTTTCTGCTCAGAAACTCCTCTATTCCCTCCCACACACGTGCTGAGGGGTTCAATAAGAGGCAATGCCTCTCTTTGCAAACCATCCCATTGAAAGAGCCTCTAAAAGCATTTCCTAAAAGCACCCAGGGATTTTTAGGTATTCTTATTTTTAACCTGGGAGCATCACAATTACAATCTAGGTATTGTAGGGCCTCAAACAAGCGAAAGCAGCCCAGCTCCCCATGCACAGACCTGTTCAGTGGGGATGAACAAGACCCTGCTGGGAGATCTCCAGCCCAGAGAGGTGAGCGGCAGCAAACTGCTGCAGGCTCTGGCTTTGCCCCTCGCGTCTCCTTCCAGCGAGGTCCCACCGGTGATGCGGCAGGCTACTGCGACGGCATCTTCCCAGGGCTTCTCCTGAAGCTGAGCTGAACTTGCAGCTCAGATCGCAGAGGCTGTGGTCATCTGGATTATCCCCTTCTTGGAGGAAAGCTGCTCAGGCCGACTCTGGCTGCTACTGCTGATGTGGCAAATGTGATTTAATAGGTCTGTGCAGGGGGCCCAACCATAAACCCTCCAGCAAATTCATCTTTGTGTGGCCCCAATCTCTCCAGCTGACAGGGACCTGGCAGCCACCAGACTACCCAAGGAAGAACATGATTCTATTATTATGATTAAAAGGTTGTTGGCAAAAAAACAGACGAGAAAGAGGGGGTTTGCTTCTTTTGGTTCAGTTTTAAATTCCAGGTTGAAAAAAGAAGACTGCCGAGCCTTCTCCTGAGCAGTTCAGCCTCACATCTGGGTGTCACAGCCACCAGATTTCAATGCAAAACTGCATCAGCATATTGGGGATTACATGCATGTGATTAACAGGTTGTCACTGAAATGCAGTTATCCCCAGGGAGAAGCAGGGTGACTATCAGCTCCCTGCATCGCTGCAGGAGGGGACACAGCAACTACCTGGACGTGCCTGCAGCTCCTGCTTGGAAAGCAGCCCCTCAGGGGATAGATACAGATCATTTTCAGGAAAGCAGCCGAGTTTCAGCCCTTTCCAACAAGGTGTTCCATGGACCAAGGTGGTCTGCCTCCTATGTGGCTCTGACGTCTGGTGTTTAGCATCCGTGGAGGCAGTGCTCGCACGCCTCTGCCCACCCGAAGGAGGTTCTCTGCTGTCCAATCATGGCACCAAGATGCCACTTGGGGAGTGGAGAGTTCTTGTCATGAAACTGGTTCAAAAATCACCGTGGGAGGATGAGGAGGCAGCAGAGTGGACAGATAACCCATGCAATTACATAATATTAATTTCCTTAAAAAAAACAAAAACAAAAAACTATTAGGCCAAAAAGGGAATTCCCCTCCGTACCATGAAGGAGGTAAATCTCTACAAACAGAAGAGGAAGCAGATAAAGAACTACAGTCAAATATGCCAAGTAAATTGCCTGAAAATTATACACTGCCTTCTACACACAGCCTAGGAATCATCTAAGAGAAAGCTTCAGACCTTTCCCTTCACCAACACTGCTAATAAATCAGGACAAGGACGAACCCAGCCCTGGCTCTCCCTCCGCTCCTGGATAAGGTTCTGCTGAACTATAAAACCTGACTGATGTTTTATGCCGCGTCCGCCTCTTTGCACTGTTCAGGCTGGATTTTAAAGTTCTTGAGAGGGTCAAGAGGAATCAAAAGTTAAGTTTTCCGTGCGGATGCTACCAACCAGACATAAACAAGCAGTCTTCCACCAGCATATCTAGCGTCTCCAGGGTTTGCTTCCAATTCTCCTAACGTGACTGTTATCTTGCACGTACACCCCAGAGGAATCCACGGTACACGATAAGCTGCAGCCAAGAGCAAAAGCAGGGCTAAGAAGTCTCTTTCCACAGGCCAGTGTAATGCTTCCCAGCAGAACAGGAAACCCCCTTGCAGTTTGCAAAGCCGATCCCTGCTTGACTACTGTTTCTTGCAAAAACCACGTAGGCTGGCCCAAAACGCAGCTCTCAGTATCTCCAGATGAGTTGGAAGTGCAAGCTGCATACGGCACGTAGCAGCCAAGAACAGCCTGTCAAAATGAGACCATTGCCTAAAGAAACCAGTAAGCAGTTACAAAATCAAACATCCATCAGGGAGGAGACGCACACCACGGCCAGGAGATTTCAAACCATTTATTGCTGCCCAGTCCATAGAGATGTCGGGGCTTCCCCGCGGCGCTCTAGATATACACGGCACGCACGTTCTTCCAGTTCTTCTTCAGCAAGGACACCAAGGAAGCTGACCAGGTGAATTTTGGAGATGAGTTTGTCCTCGGTCATCTTCACGTGACCGACAGCCAGATGGAGCACTGGGGACAATGACACCGAGGTCACTTGGTAGCTTTGCAGGGAAACTGCAAAGACCGCAGCCTGCTACCTAATAAAGCCAGAACAGCAGGCTCAGACCTTGATGATCAGGGCACAGTTTCTATTTATGTCATATTTTGGGCAGCCCTACAATAGCTTCAATACATTCAGACACTAACTTACTGGTATGCAAATACATCAACAATTTGGCTCTCTGGAGGTTTCTTTCCTCCAGCTAACGTAGACTTTGAAGCCTCATCAGTCCACTGTCACCTAAAATAGCTTAAGAGATTCTTGCTATAAAGAAATCTGTACTCTTAGCATTAAGAGCATCACTTAATGCTTCAGAGTTTCATTCCTCTGGCTGGATCTAAACATTAATGAGCAAACTTGAAGCAGTAACATGTCACACCTACATGTTTTAGTCCCACTTCTCCCTTTGTAGATGTAAATGTTTATGAATTTTTAAATAGTTCCTGAAGTATGCAGTGCTTCAAAACCTCCATTAAAACTCTAGCACTACCTCCCTCAGAGTCCATCCACTCTCTCCCATCCTTATCTTTCCAGTCCTCCAACCAGAAAGTGCCCAGATGAGGTTTCTAGTGGGTGTTTTCAAGGATACAGGATAGAAATTTGCAAACAGTCATGCTATAGAAGCACTTTTTATTAGTGTATCACTAAATGCCTTGCAATGGGAAGTGCCGTCATCACCATGTGGCAAACCAGGAATGTGACACAGAGCAGGGCTGCTTTGCAGGCCCCAGCAAAACAGGGAAAAAAAAGGCAGATTTAAAGCAGAAAATTCAAGTTTACCAGTTCTTCATCTAAACCCCCCTCTTCTACATCCTGAGATTTGTAAATCCCAGCAGACCAGATAAACAACCCAGCAGATCATTGCTGCATCACCTGAAAAATCAGCTTAGCTGTTGGAGAGAAAGGCTGACATGCACAAAACGTTACCACTTGTGCCTTGGCTCCTTTGAGCCATGATAAAAACATGATGGCCAATTAAGCCTAGTCCAGAATTATCATCTTTAAACAGCCTCAAATCAGTTTATGTCTTGATTCAGTGGTGTGTTAAGGGCATTAAGAATGAAGGACCTGTGAACTCCACCATGCAGCATTGCTTGCTCTGGGCCATCACAATGCTAGAAAAACACTTGAAATATGGAGGTTTTGGAGAAGATGACTCTTCACCTTGGGTACCAGGCTGCCACCGTGAGCGAGGAGAGGGAGGTTTGCCAGCTTTGTGCAGACCACGAGCCCTAAAGGAGCAACCTGCTTCATCGAGGGCTGACGCCGGTAAGGCATCGTACTTCTCAGCTGTGAGAAACAAAAACAAGGGTACACACAGGAAATATTGCAGCCATGTCACCCTCTTTTTTAACAAGAAGTGGATCTATGTTGATTAAAACAAGTAGGGACACCTGCAAGCCAGACTGATGAGACACGGATGCTCAATCAAGCTCTTCAGATTTACAGAGCTTTCAGAGATGCTGGCACAGGGTAGGAGACATCACATAACCCAGCATACTCATCAAGCCAAAGGGGACCTCTGAAAGCAGAAAAGGGCTTCTGCTTCTTCTGCAGCTTCTTGCTGCCCAGTCAGGCAACATGGGGACCTGCTCGATGGAAAACCCTTTTTTATAAGAGAATATACAGGGAAAATGGGCAACATTTCCTCTCCAAGGGGAAATGGCAGCCAGCCTTGGGCCCAGGATGGCTGCAGCCCACCTTCAGACACTCTTCAAGTACTTGTGTGCCAACATTACTCAATCAATAATGCAAAAAATAATGGATTTTTTGCTTTCCTGATTAAAAAAAGCCATCTTCTGGGCACAAACCATCTACAAAACAGTCATCTTTATGCAATTACCGGGCGATGCACAGCCCGGCCACCCGTCATGCCCATGGGCCCGGTGCCGATGTGGGGCAATCCAGGGCTTTGCGGTGCCCCCACCGCCGGAGGTTGGGAGAGGAGAGAGGAGAGAGGAGAGAGGAGAGAGGAGAGAGGAGAGAGGAGAGAGGAGAGACGCACTGCCCTGAGGCATCCTGCAGCCCGGCCCCTCCACAGCTCCTCCTCTGCCGCCATCTTGGGAGAGGCGGGGAGGGAGGCGCCATCGTGAGCGTGGCAGGGGCGGGAAGGCGGGAGTTGCCATCTTCCGTGTGGCGAAGCACCCGTCGCAATGGGCTCCGAGACAGCCCAGAGACAGCCCAGACGCAGAGCTGACCGGAAATATATTCATTGTTTAACCAAGAAAACCTTCATCTTCAAGCCTCAGGGTGTGCGTGGGGCTGGGATGGTGTCACCCAGCGATTCCCCCCCTCAAACCAGGCCGTCTGAGTGCAAAACATCGCTGCAAGGCCCCGGGCAGAGGCATGGGCACTCTGTGTGCCACGGCCCACGCTCGCTGGATCTGCATCACGCTGGTGGTGAACCCCAGCAAGGGACTGGGCCGCAGCTACCACCACCTAACACACATCCTCTGCCCAAGGAAGCCATCGCCTTGCGTTTCTCTTTGGTGTTCATCTGGGAGGAGGAGAGAGAAAGAGGAGAGAAATCAAGAAAAAAGGGAAACACGCCGCCAACCATACTCCGGCATGGCTTCTGCAGGCACTCGGTGGTTTCCCACCTCCCAGGGCAGACCAGGAGCCTGAAGGCTGCTGTCCCCCCCAGGAGAGACCCCAGCCTGGAGGGCACAGCATCCATCTCACCTGGCTCCTTCCAGCACGGCCTGCAGCGATTTCTTCAGAGCTGCATTGCTCTGATCCAGAGCGGCAGCCAGACGGCTCCGGTGGGCTGGGGTGACCTGGAGACAGAGAGGAGAAGGTGCTCAGAGAGCTGCACTGCACAGCCCACCTGAGACCCCTGGGCCAGGTCCTGGGTCAGCTGCAGCCCTGGCTGACAGCTCACCAGCTGCTCCGCAGGACCCAAGCCTGGTCTTACTCACTTGGCTTTGGTACATGGTGAGCACGGCCGTCACCAGCTTGGCGTAATTCAGCGACGCGGCAAAGGCTGGGGCCTGCCGGCACAGAGTCAGGACCAGGAGATCGAAGAGCTCAGGGGGCAGCACCTCCTGGAAGAGAGCGACAAGTGGGGAGGAGAGCTGGTCCTTGCTCCAGCGCTGCTGGAGCTGGTAAGAAAACCTGGGGGGACAAAGGGGGTCCCCCTCACCTGCCGCCCCAGCACAGCCTGCGCCACTGGCAGGAGCTTCTCTGACAAAGGCACCTCCAGGACCTGGCTGCAAAGGATGGTGAAGAGGAGATGTGATGCTCACGTGGCCTCGCTGGTGCTCCTGAGCGGTCGGAGCCAGCCAGACCCATCGAGGCAGGCGCGAGGGTGAAAGCAGAGCTGTTGCCCCTGTCATCTCTTACCTTAGCACCAGTCTCACAGAGTCTGGCTCCAGGCACTCCTCCACAAGCTCGCACACCAGCTTGGTCTGCTCAGCACCTGCAAGGGCAAAGCAGAAGGGGGAAGAGCCTCCAGAGGCTGCCAAATCCCTAGGGATGTGCCTGACCCTTCTTGGCACCCCTTCACACAGGGGTACATGCTAGTCAGGACACCCAGAAACCACATAGTGCCCCCTTCTACTGGTCAGGATAATCCAGCTTCCTTTGCCCGTCTGCAGCAAAGTTTTAATTAGCACCAGTCCCTAGGAAAAGGGGATGCCACTGTGGCAGGGATTCACGCAGGACCCTCTTCTCATGCCACCCTGGGGCAGTTTTGGCCCCAGCATTAGGAGTTGTCAGGAATCCTCAAGTCCATGGAGGGATGGCAGCTGTTCTTTGGGAGGTCTGAGGCTGGAAAGCAGCTTGGCCTCCCTCTCCATCTCAGGCATCTATAAACCCATCTCCCATCCTAACTCCCAAGCGTTCACCTGCCCAGATAAAACCAGCACCATCCCTCCATGGTTCCTAACACACGTTTTGGGTGATAAATGCCTCCCAGCAGACAGCACTCTGCAGTTGGGGCTTCCCTTCCTGGTGGATGCAGCCCACGGCCCCTCTCCAGCTCCCTCAGCTGCTCCCAGAACAAGCTGTGCCTCCTGCGAGTCCATCGCACCTTCCCCTGGCTCCTGCAGGACCGCAGCCACCAGGACTCGACAGAAGGGCTGGGAATACTTGGAGCAAAATGAAGCGAGGGCAGCCATGAGGTGGCGGGAGGGCGGCTGGGTGAGGGACAGGACCTACGGACAGAAAATGCAGGAGATGGTGATGGCGGTGAGGGAAACGGGGTGCAGGAAACCTCTGCCCCTGCACTTACTCGCCTGAGAAAGAGCTGCTCTGCCAGGATGGCTGCGCTTGTGTAGCTGAGGTCGGGGGTGAGCGCCAGCAGCCAGCTGCAGAAACACACCAGGAGGTGCTCCGGGCACGTGGAGAGCTGGAGGAAGGAGCACAGCCCCTCGAGCTGGGGACAGCAGAAGGGACAGGGACATTAGGGACAGCAGCAGGCCCTCTGTGGCACCGGCGGTTGCAACGAGGATGCTGAGGCTCACCTGGCCGGGAGAGCAGTTGTTCAGGATGTGCAGCTCAGGCGGGATGCTCAGCTCTGAGTGCTGGAGGGAAACACAGTCCTTGAGTAATACACCAAATAAACCAACCCACAAAATATAGCTCCAAGGCTTTTCTCTTCCCTGCCGTCCCCCGCTTCGGCCAGCACTGACCCCACAGGCTGCCCGTCATACAGCAGATCCCTGCGAGGTGGAGGCAGGTATTAGCACCCGAGCCCAGAGGAGGTGGCAACGGGGCTTTTTATCCCCCTCCAGTTCTCCCTGTGAAACCCACCTCCTTTCCCATCCCTTCCAGAGGCCCTGGCATGGGCCCGTTCAGACCATCAGCTCCAGGAGAGAGACAGAAGCAACCACTTACGTTGGCCTCCTTCTGCAGCAGCATTTTCAGCCTCGGTCCATGCACCTGCAGAAAATGAGGTGAAGGAACAGAAATCAGACTGCAAAGACTCACTGGCTGGAAGGGGAAAGCAATCCCCGCCCGGTACCTGGAGAAAGGACTGGACCTCCGCTGCCAGCTCTGCCTGGGAAATCTTCCTGGGCTCCCCAGCCACATCCTGCTGGGAGCTTTCCAGAGCAGCTCCGGCCAGGTTCTGAGCAGATCTGTCCCCCGAAGTCTCCCCAGGCTCCTCCTCTTCCACCCCTGCTGCATCCCCACCCTCCTGGGTTCCCGGGAGGTCAAACGCCACCTCCTCTAGCAGCAACCTCTTCCCCTCTCTCTCCTCATCCAACTCCAGGCTCTCCTCCGACACTTTCTTGCGCTTCCCACCTTGAAGCACAGAGTCAGCCACGTCCCCAGCGGCACCGGGCTGCTCGCTGAAGCACCAGTTCAGCTTTCTTCGCCCCTCTGGTTTGTTCTGGGCAACTTTCCAGCACAGACACCTAAGCTGCTGCTGGCATGCAGAAGACAAGGGAACAGGAGGTGGGGAGCGCTCTTCTCCCCTCGCTCCCTGCCGGAGCAGATCCCCCAGTGTCCGCACCCAGGGATCCACGTGGGAATCCTGCTCCATGGCCTGGAGCAGCCGGCCAAGGCAGCCCCCTGGCATCGCAGCTTGCATCACGAGGAGCAGGGAGAAGAGGTTTCTCTGGCATATGACGGGGAGCAGCAGCAGACGCGGTTTGCTGGAAAAGGGGAGAAAAGGGAGAGATGACACGTCAGAGCGAAGCCCCGAGCCCTTACTGCCAACCTGCCCCGCAGAGCAGGGTCTAACGGCACTAGGAAGCGAGAGGAGGCAGCAAATGCCTTCGCCAGCTTTTGCAGACACAAGCTGGAAGACCGGTAGGTCCCTGCTACAATCCTGACTTCACGTATGGCCTGTTGCACCAGGGGGGAGGAGATGCACAGTGCTGAACTGGGCACCCAGCGTGCCCAATCTCCCACAAAACACCGAGTTTTGGAAACGTGGACGACTCACACAGCCAGGGCCCCCTCCGGCCCCTCCAGCGTCGGCTCCTCGGC